AAACCCCAGAGAGTCAAGGGCTTCAACAGGCTTTCCTTATTTCCCACACTCGTCTTTGATTATTGATGATTGGAAACAAGGAGGAAAGAATCTCAGAAAGGACCCTTATCACTCCAAAAATGGCTAAGGAGAAATGTCTCCAACTTTTAAAAACGGTTTCCACCCCCCAAAAGGAAGAGAAAATGAGGTGGAGGGCACTAAAAGTTGCCTCCTGCCATTAAGCCTCTGGCCCCACATAGAGTACAATGCTTCAGGTCATGCACCTGGGGAATCTCAGTGGAGGATGATTCTTGTTCAGGCAGAGGTTAGACCAGATGATCTTTGGGAGGTCACTTACAGCTCTGAAAAATTGAACACTAATTTTCTGTAGACATAAAGTTACTGTGCAAAGTGGCATTAAGCCAGAAAAGTCTTATTGCTGGGCCTTCATCCACTGAAGGAAGGATGATGGCTTCTGACAGTAGATCTTCTGGTCCAAGGTCTCCACCCAAGGGCACCCACTTGCTGTCTCTTGACAATATGACCTCTCAAGTCAGATTTCAGTTTGCTTCCTAGGACATGTGTCTTTAGATAATGCCCAATAATCCAGACAGTTAAAAACATTCATTATCCTTAAGGTGGTTCTTTGGAAAATGAAATGTAGCCCACTCCACTGAGAAGTTGAAAACCTTCTCCCAAGAGTGTCCATTTAGAATCAAACCAAACTAGAAGTGCCTTCCTGATGGCTGCTCACTCCCAAAGGAATGGGAATGTTTTCATGGTCACTTTATATATGAGGGGCTGGATTTGAGGTCCTCTGAGGTGCCTTATAGCTCTAGGTCCATTTAGGAAGATTGGGGTTCAAATCATACCTGAGACACTTATGACTTCGGTTTCCTGCTCTGTAAAATGAGAAGGCTGGACTGTATACCTTCCAAGGTGCCAACGATCTCAGAATTGATGATCATTTAAGCTGTGATTTCGTCAATGCAGAGAATTCTCAGTGTGAGTATTTCTGTCACTACTTCAGTTCACAATCCATTCATTCATTCATTCAATACTTATTTATTAATCATCTTATACAATGGTACTGTACAGGGGGCTGCAGATACAAAAATGAAATAGTCCCTGCCCTCAAGAAGCTTGCATTCTATGGGGGAAGGGTAGCATGTACATAGCTAAGTAAACACAAATTTATACAAAGTAAAAACAAAATTGCTTGGGGGAGGGATTACATCAATGACTGGGAACATTAAGAGGGGAGTAAGTAAGTCAACCATGACCTGAGCCTTGAGGGAATCTAGGCTTTCTATGAGCTAGAGTTGATGGGGAAGCATCACAGGCAGTGGGGAGAGCCTCTGTAAAGACACAGAAATGGGACATAGAGCAATCAGCCAGAAGGCTGGACCATGAAGGGCACAAAACCTAGAAAGATGGGCTGGAGCCGGGCTGTAAAACTTTAAATGTCAGACTAAGGAGGATGTGGTCTTCCCTAGAGGCAATTAGGGAGTCACTGGAGCTTCTGGAGCAGGAGAATCACACAGTCCGACCAGTAACTTCAGTGATTAGATTTAGTAAGATCATAGGATAAAATATTTAGAGCTGAAAAAGACCTGCAAGACGTAGCCTTGGAGAGTTGCCTGAGGACCTGAGAAGACAAGCCACCTGCCCAAAGTCCAGTGTGCCAGCAAGTGGCAGAGGCATGACTTGGACCCGGGTCTCCCTGCCTTTGAAGTTGACTGGCTAGCCACCAGGCACCACAGTCTAGGAAGGGTGCTGAAAGCTGGAGCTCAATGAACAGCCTGGAGAACATGTAGGAGGATCAGCCAAAGGAACTGGCGATGTCTAACCCGGAGAAGATGTGAGGGAGACATGGTTCTTCAAATGTAGAGCCAGTAGGTCAGACTAGATCATCTCTAAGATTCCCTCCCAGCACAAAACTGAGGATTCTGTGACCTCTGTCTATAAGTATTTGATGGGCTGTGTGCACAAGAGGGATGATTTTGGCCCTGTCCAGCCTCAGAGGATAGAACTAGGAGCAGTGGGTGGAAAAGATAAACTTCCCATCCATGAGCTCTCTCCCGAAGAGCTGGGCTGCCTTAGGAAGCCCGAGGTTCCCTATCATGGGAGGTCTTCAAGCAAAGGCTGTCATCCCCTTGTCAGGGATGTTAAAAACAAGTCCGGGCTAGATAAGGGGGACCATGAAGGTCTTGCCATGATCCTGAGATTCCGTGAAATGAGCTCACTACCCATCTCAGACCTGTGGGAAAATGGATAAAGCCCTGGTCCTGAAGTCAGCAGGACCTGTGTTCAAGCACCACCCCCTACACTCTGCCCTTACTAACTGTGCAACCAAGGGCCACTCAGTTCTCTCTGAACCTCAGTTTCCTCACCTGGAGCTAGTGAAACCTATGGTCCGTACTTCACAGTCAGTGGGATGACGCTTTTTCAGGGATGGTCTATACCACATGACCTTTATGAAGTCACTTTTAACTCTGAGGAATTGCACACAAATTTTCTGTAGACAAAGTTACTTTGTGAATTGGAATTAAGGCAGAAAAGTCCCATTCACAGGACTTTCTCCAGTGGAGGAAGGGTGACAGCTTCCGCTAGCTCATGTGTTTGATGAGATCAAGATACAAATTAATGAGTGCAAGCATTGTATCGATGTCAGCTATGATCATCATGGGACTTCAGTTTTCGTAATGTCACATTCATGTACTCAAAATAACATAACCATACTACAATTAGATAAAGAATTATACATCATTAGATCTGGAGAGGACCTCAGAGGCATCTGGTTCAAGTTTCTCATTTTACACATTAGGGAACTGAGGCCCAGAGTGGGAAAGTAACCTGGTCACTCTCACAAGTTGTTAGTAGCGGAGCTGAGATTAGAACCCAAGTCTCTTAACCCTAATCCTTTCTACCCTCTCCCACCTTAACCACACTGGCTGCTAGCCAGTCAGGTCAACAAGTCAACAAGCATTGAGTAAGTGCCAGGCACTGACCAGGTGACTTTGAAAACCAGATAATATTGACGGACTTTTTTGGGTCCTTTTTAACTCAGAAAGACTTCTCATTGTTTCATTCTTTCTTCATCTCTTACCCCTTCCTTAGTCATTGTTGGTGGCTTTCCATTACATGTCACTTCCACCAACACTGAGTTCAGGTCATGGCGCTGAGCTTCTCTTCATCAGAAGACCTGAGTTCAAATCCCAACACTGCCAACCAACTGTGAGATCTAAAGCAAGTGACTTCCCCTTGTCCACACTTTACTTTTCTCATCTATCAAATGAGGAAGTTGCATTAAATGGCCTCTGAGGCCCCTTCCAGCCAGAGATTCAGGATTCTAACCTGACCCATCATCCTCTGTGTGATGGTGGACAAGTCCTCCTCCTTGTGCCTCAGTTTTCTCATCTGAAAAATGACATAGTTGGATTAGATGGTCTCCAGGGCCCCTTCCCCTCATGAACTAGGCTCCTAGATCCAGTCCTCAATCTCTGGGTGATTCTCCTTTCTTGTTATGTGGCCCCTTTTTTTCCTATCTTTGATATGCAGGTGACCAAAAGCTTGAAACTGAATCTTCTCTCTTGCCCCTTCACTCTCTCTCTCTCTCTCTCTCTCTCTCTCTCTCTCTCTCTCTCTCTCTCTCTCTCTCTCTCTCTCTCTCTCTCTCTCTCTCTCTCTTTCTCTCTCTCCCCCAGTTTTCACAGGTTCAGTTACCATCGAATCTTGAAAACCCTCCTCAATGCCATACCCAACAGGTAGCCATCTAGCCTCTCCTTGGGGACCACCTATCATTGAGCATCATGGTATCATGAAAAGATCCCTGGGGGAGGAGTTAGGAGACTTTGGTCCACTGTGAGTGGAGCTGTAAATCGGCCCAACTATCCTGGAAAACTACTTCTGATTGTGGGTGAAAATTCACTAAACTTTCCATATTCTTTGACCCAGACAACTCGAAGAGGTCAATGACAGAAAAGAGAGTACCATATGACCAAATACTCACTGCAGTAGTCTGTAGTGGCCAGGAAATGGAAGCAAAGCCCATCAATGGGGGAATGGCCAACCAAATTGTGATACATGAATACTATGCAACATTACTGCATCACAAAAAAAAACGAATCTGAGGAATTCAGAGAAACATGGGGAGAACTGTATGAAGTAATGTGGAGGAAAGAAAGCAGAGCCAGGAGACTAGTACAGATAATGAGTACAAGAATACAAATGACAACACTGGAAATGCTCCCATTCAAATAAATACAATCTAGTCCAGATGAGAAGGGATTGGAGACTGCTTCAGCAAGGCAGGGGCTGTGTAAGTGCAGAGAAAGGGCTAGCCAGGCAAAATTTGGTGCAAGGGACGTTGTGAAGGGCAAATCGACAAGTTTGTGAATGTGCAATAAGCTACTGGAAAGGAAAACACTTACAGAAACTCCGCAGAAACCGCATCACCTTCCACGGTCAGCCTTTGGCTGAGGTTTTCCAGCGTCCAGTTTCTGGATCACAAGTTTCAACAGCCAGAGAAAAGGTCTGGGATGGGAAATTGTTTATTTGCACGGCTTGGTTACCTAAGGCTACATCAGCATAGCGAGAACCTCTGAATCACTTGGTCCATTTTTTTCTTCAATTCAACAAAAGATATCTACCAAAAGGGGAGAAAAAAAAGGCCACACACCCTAGCAGTAGCCTCCAATCCCCTAAGTCTATCCAATCACATCAAGACAAATCAGCCTTCAGGCAAATCCACCGTCTTGATTTAAGCTTACCTGGACTTGGCCATTTGCCCAGGTCCTCAAAACCCCTGCAAAATGCCCATGCATGGATATTTTAAAATGTGTGTAAGTCAAACAGTTGTTTTCTTCATGGGTTATTAAAGGGGGGAGAGCTTGTTAGCCCAGGAGAGTTTCATCTTTGGGGGCAAAGATAAGTTGGTTTCCCCGTTAGCAATATGTAAATGCCAGGCTGGTGGGTGGGATTGGGTGTGCTCAGGTGCATAAATAGAGGCTCTTGGCACACCTACACTCAGAACTTTGGAACAGGCTCCTGGCTCTTCCGCAAGTGCAGGTGGGAGGGGCAGCAGGTAAGGCTCCTGACCTTGCATTCCCGTAGATAGAGATGTACACCTAGCAGGAGGAGAGATTCCTGGGAGGAGACGGAGGCCGTAAACAGGCATAGCAGCCCCAGGCTGTGTACAGGATCATGGGGCTTGGATTATGTTCCTGGGGCAATGGAAGTGAGCAGTCCCTTCTGAGCAGGGACTCTCAGGGGAGGGGCTGGGGCCACCACCTCTGGGCACAAAAAGGATGCCACTAGTCACTTTCTTCAGCTGACTGAAGTTCTCCAGGGAAATCATCGATGCCAGAAGACTGTCCATGCATAAAAGGGCCAATTGATAGAATGTCACTCTCATTCATCCTTTGCTTTTAAAATGAATTTATTTGACTACAAAGCCAATGTCATATAAACAAAGATAATTTGGCTTCTGCTCTGGTCAAGCAAACTCAAGGGTGGTTTTGTGCCCGATTCAAGGGGCGTGCTTTTTTCCTGTATATTGCCAATAGACATCCTTGTTGCTCTTTTCTTCTACTGTGATAGTGACACCAGGTCTTTATCAGGCTCCGGCACAGCTGAGGTTGGAGGGCATGAAGCCGGTGAGGGTGCTAGAGTGACCCAACGTCTCAGCAGAAATGCTTGCCGAGAACCCTGCCCAAGAGGGCTAGGACAGTGGTGTCCCACTGGCTCTTAACGAGTCTTTATCCTATGCAGGGTGTGTGCATGAGTACATAGCAACAGATGAATGTGCCCAGCACAGCAATATTTCCAGAAGGTGGCAACCAGTTATAAAAATGCCTTTGCAGGAAGTTTGCCAAGTATAGTTCTTTTGGACTTTAAGGGACTTTGGCATTGTAGAGCTCAGAAAGTGCCTTTGAAAGAGGAAGTGTACCTAGAGAATTCGGTTAGATCTGAAACATTCATTTTCAGTCTTTGTATCACCCGCACCAGGGGCAGCTGGGGTCATGGTGAATAGAGAGCCAGACCTGGAGTCAGGGAGACTCATCTTCCTGAATTGAAATCCAGCCCCAGATACTCACTAGCTGAGTGACCCTGGGGAAGTCACTTAACCCTGTTTGCCTCAGTTTCCTCACCTGTAAAATGAGCTGGAAGGAAATGGCAAACCACTCCAGGATCTTTGCCAAAAAACAAACAAACGAGAAAACTAACGGGGACACACAGAGTTGGACATGGCTGAAAAATGACTTAACAACTACAGCAACATCACTATCCCCCAGCACAGTGCCTCGTATGCAGCAGGTGCTTCATAAGTGCTTATCCATCATACTTCTCTGAGTGAAGCTTCCAGAAAGGGGGAGGGAGAGGGAACAAGAAATTACTGAAAGCCTACTATACGCCAAGCACTGTGCTAAGGAGTTTATCGATATTATCATCCCATCCTCACAACAACCCTTGGGAGGTGCTATTACTATTATTATCCCGATCTAGCAGTTAAGGAAACTGAGGCAAACATCGATTAAGTAACTTGCTGAAGATCACGCAGCTAGTAAGTGCCTGAGACCAAATTTGAATTGAGGTCTTTCTCCAGGCCCAGCACTCTATCAACTTCACCACCTCATTGCCCCCAGAAAGTAAATGGAACTTGGTTAGGATCTGGAGGTGAAGGGAAAGAGATTTCTGAGCAGCTCTTTGTCAGGTCAGGAATTGGGGAATGTGGCTTTCCTTTTCTTTCTGTGTAAGTGAATAAATGTGTCCTGTGGTGCTTGGAATGTAAAACAACTACCCGCTGAAGGAGGATGAGGAAACGCATCTCCCCCTTGTTTGCAAAGGTTGGAGACCGTAGGGGTGGAACGCTGCATGCACTCGCAGAGACGCTTGGTGTGGTTCTCAAGTTTGCTTTTCTTTCCTTCTCTCCCTTTTTTCTATTCTTTGCTGTTAAAGGTGACACTTTTAGGAAGGGGAAGGGTAGTAATATATTTGGAAATGAAAATGGTGTAAAAACAAATTCTACATTTTCAAAAAAGAAAACACTGGTTAATTTAAGAACTGTTATGTGAGCAGGAGAGCATTCTATCTGCTGGTGCTGCACCAAGATTCATATTCCAGCCAATGACTCTCATAAGCTCTTCCCATCTGCACCTTTGGCAGTGCAATTAATTCTCTATGCATTTGATCAAGTTCAAAATTATATCCACCTGAGAATTACAAGCTTCGTGTGGAAAATGTCTGTGTTCTTCAGAGACAGGAATGGAGAGGGCTGGACTCGGGCTCAGGGGCCTGGAGTTTGAATCCCAGCTGAGGCATGCACCAGCTGTGGGAGCCTGAGCAAGTCACTTAGCCCCCAGGGGATCAGTTTCCTTAGCTGTAAAATGGGGATAATGATAGACATAGTACCTTTCTCACAGGCCATTTAGGGGGCACAATGAGATCAATGCTTGATCAAATCTCTGAGGCTTCCAGAAGAGCAGGACCTATCCCACCTGTCCCTGATCCTTCACTGATTCATTTACCCACCTTCCCTTACCATTCAGTTGGTTCTGATGTTCTAAATGAGCCCAGCATTTCCTGTAAGCAAGGCTTGGAACATTCTAGACTATAGTTAAGAAAGCTGGACCTATGCTAGTCCTGTGAGGCATGTGGATACACAGAGTCTTAGCATTTCAGAGTCAGAAGAGTCCTTCTTGGGTTGTATCATCGTCATGAAGAGTAGAAACAGGCTTTGTGATGGTCAACTCAAGGACCACCTCCTCCAGGAAGCCTCCCCTTCTTAGTGTGCTCTCTCTCTGTCTCTTTCTGTCTGCCTCTGTCTCTGTCTCTCTCTCTGTCTGTCTCTCTCTCTGTCTCTCTCTGTCTCCCTCTGTTTCTGTCTCTCTGTCTCTGTCTCTGTCTCTCTCTCTCTCCCCCTCTCTGTCTCTCTCTCTCTCCCCAGCCCCCAATTGTTTTTGTACTCTGCCTATGTTGTGTCCCTCTCACAGAAAATAAGCCCCTTGGAATCAGGAATTGTTTTTGTGGGGCTTCTGTACCCCCAGAAGCTAGTATAAGTGTTTTGTACACATTTGGTGATTTTAAAAAACACGTTTCCAAATTGAATAGGATAGAAGTAACACGGTCGGCTGTCTCTAAATGAGGCATTTGTCTACTTACCATCCCCAACACTGATGCTTTGCTTTTGGATAAAGCTCCTCCATTTTTCCCCAGTGGTGGTTTTCACCAAAAACAAAGGGAAAAATGAAGACTATGAGAATGATGGTGGTGATGACAAGGATAATGCTAGAGGTATTAATGGCAATGATGACAGGTGGGGTTGATATGGAAGAGTAGGAGGAGGTTACTTCTGATGATGCTGGTCATGGTAATGGTGGGTGGTTATAATGATGTTGATGGTGGAAATGATGATGATAATGCTGGCAATGAGGAGGAAGAAGAGAAGGAGGAAGAAAAAGAGGAGAAGGAAGAGGAGGATAAAGAAAATGCTTCTGATGATCCTGGTAGGGATTTTTGTGGTGGTGATAGGGATGACAATAGCAACAAGGAAGATGGTGGTGATGGCCATGACAATAGGATAATAACTGTGCCGATGATAACGGTGATATTGATGATAATTGAGGACAATGAGGAGCTATTTGTGAGGATGTTGGTGGTGATGGAGATGGTGACAGTGATTACACAAGTAATAGTGATGATCGTGCCAATAGACGCTTTAACGGAATTGTGGGAAGCACTTTCTTCATAATAATTGTTAAGATAGGTAGTTTGGAAATTATTATCCCTGTTTTACTGAGGAATGAGGAGTTAATGAGGAAACTGAGACTCAGCAAAGTGAAGTGGCCTGTCTATGATCAACATAGCATCAGAATAGAAGAGGAGGATAGAGGTTCCGGATGATTATCAAAGAACAGTATCACTGGCATATTTTAAAGAGCTCATTGAAAACAAACTCTCTGAGTGTCCTGTTAAGACACCCACGGTGCCTGAGATCACTAGCGAGGCAAAATCCCATTTCCTCAGCAGAGCGGACCAGCAAAGGAGGGCTATGTTACATGCCCAGCAAAGTCCACTTTCTGCAGCTCCTTGGGTCTTAGTCTGAGATTTTGAAAGGTGAGTCACCTTTCTTTCCTCTTCTTCATCCTCAGCATTAGCCATGGAGAAGATTTCAGTGTCCATCTTCCTGCTCCTGGTAGCCATCTCTCACACACTGGCCAAAGAGATTACACCCAAACCTGGGGCAAAGGAGGAAACTCGGCCCAAGCTGCCCCAGACCCTCTCCAGAGGTAGGAACTACTTGTCTTCATGGTACTTCCCGTTGGCATTGCTGCCTTGTAGGGCATAAATTGGTCTGACCCGGCAGATGCTAGTGTTGATATTCCCCATAGCTTAGTTTATCATACGGTCCTCCTGGCTTTGTTTTCTAAGCCTGAGTTTTCAGAGTCCAAATCCCTTCTTGAACATGACATGCCCAGATATGCCTTGAAGCTTTGCCATCCCTGCCTGATGATTTTGAGTCTGAAATGGCATCAGTCTGGTAACTACCTGTCGATTTCCCTCCAGGCTGGGGTGATAAACTTTTCTGGACGCAGACATATGAAGAAGCCTTATACAAATCGAAGACCAGGTAAACAACAAGCATTTATTAAGCCTCTAATGTGTGGCAGGGATAGGAATACAGAAACAAAAATAGTCCCTGCCCTCCAAGAGCTTACGTTCTACTGAGGGAAAAATATGTGCACAGATAAGTAAATATAAAGTATACACAACATCAATGCAAAATCATTTCAGGGAGGGGAGATGGCTGACACCTGGGAAAATAAGTAAAATCCTATTGGAGGAGGTGGCAGCTGGGCTGAGCTCCGAAGGTTCCAAGGGAAGGGGAGGGAGGACAGCCTGTGCAAGGCGGGAAGTGGGATGTCCCATATGGAGGGAGCGGCAAGTCGGCCAATTTAGGGCTGCCACGCCTCTTTCTTCTTTAAAAGGTCTCACTAGTACCATCTAGTGTCACTTGATCTCTACATCAAACAATCTCCATTTATGAAGGATGTTACAGATTAAAAATACATTTGTGGAAAATGAATAACAACTATCTATCACTCTTTCTCCTTCTCTTTCCCTTCCTGTCTCTCTCCTCCTTCTCTCCCTTCTTTCTCCACTCTGTCTTTGTCTTTGTCTCCTTTGTCTCTGTTTCTCTCCCTCACTCTCTCCTTTCTCTCCTTTCCCCTTCTCTCTCTCTGTCTCTCTGTCTGTGTCTGTCTGTGTGTCTCTGTCTCTCTCTGTCTCCCTCTGTCCCTGTCTCTTTCTCTGTCTGTCTGTGTCTGTGTGTGTGTCTCTCCTCTCACTCTTTGTCTCTCTTTCTCTGTGTGTATCTGTCTCTGTCTCTCTGTGTGTCTCTCTCTGTCTCTGTCTCTCTCTGTGTGTCTCTATGTCTCTGTCTGTCTCTCTGTTTCTGTCTGTCTGTCTCTGTCTCTCTCCCTCTCTCCCTCCCTCTCCTTATCTCTCTCTCTCCCTCCCTCCCTCCCTCCCTTCCTCCCTCTTCTCTGTTCTAGCAACAAGCCCTTGATGATTATTCACCACTTGGAAGAGTGCCCACACAGTCAAGGTACAGCCAATAGAAGGGGGGGGAACTGCCATTGTTATAAAATAATTATAAGTGACTTCAAAGCTTCCTTCCATGTGTTTCTGGAAACCACGGAGTATGAGCCACACCAAGTGTAGGCTATGCTGTGGTATTGCTTTAGCTGGAATATGTAAAAAGAACTAAGTGATTGGCTCAACACAAGGCAGAGAACAATAGCTCCCACAGTGATGAATGAGACGTTAATTTGGCCGCCTCAGTATCAGGCCACCTCAAAAGCCCAACAGGAACAATTCTGAAATGTTTTCATTAGTTCTTTGGGTGTTGCTTCTCATAAGCATATACACTTTGTGGGGGTTGGGGTGGAGACGTAGCTCTGGTTCTGAGAGCTTAAAATCAGTCTTTTTATTGCAGCTTTGAAGAAAGCGTTTGCAGAAAGTAATGAGATCCAGAAACTGGCAGACAAATTTGTTCTTCTCAATCTAATTGTAAGTTAAACTTCCTCGATTTTGCTTTTGATGGTCATTAAGATCTTTCATTTGTCAAAATTTTCCAGTCCATCTTTGATTTCACTAAGTGACTTGTGGACACATTGAATGGGCTGGTGGAACTAGGACTCTGTATGTGTGTGTGGTTGAGAGGTTCATTATTTAAATTTTGAAAATATTGATGTTATTAAAATTCAACTTAGCCACTGTTTTGCGCTAAACATCATGCCAGTCAATTTCTGAACTCTTTTGAATCTTTCATCAGCTATTTCTCAGAGATTGAAGGATTAAATTTGTGATCCTGGGTATCCAAGATCATCCATAACACTTTTGATATGAGCCTCACAAGAAAGAGTCTAATGGAGATAGAACAGGCAACTGAGGTGGCCACACAAGAGGAATTCCTCCACTGATTCACCATCTTGAGAAAGTGTTATCCAGAAATTGGCGCAGACACAGTATATACTGGAAGGGCATTCCATCTTATTAAAATGAACATTCTGGGGGCAGCTAGGTGGTGCAGTGGATAGAGCACCGGCCCTGAAGTCAGGAGGACCTGAGTTCAAAACCGACCTCAGACCAAACACTTTGACACTTACTAGCTGTGTGACCCAGAGCAAGTCACTTAACCCCAATTGCCTAAAAAAAAAAGTGAACATTTTATTATTAAAAATTCACAAATCCAAGTGAGAAAGAAGCGTAAATAATTAAACTTTCAAGTGATCGTTTTGTGAATTTGTAATATTTTGACATATGAAGTTATTCAAGCTTAAAATGGCTCTCTAAGACTTTAGGGACAGCCTGGGCATATAGTATATTCAGGTATTTATATGTGCATATATTTATATATTTTTGTGTGTGTGAGTGTGTGTAATTTGAATACGTGTCCTCAGATGTTAAATGCCATGCTTTCCATGACTCCACCTGTTCTATTAGCAGTCCTTACTAGGTTACCTGGAAACTACCCACCTGGATCAAACGTTGTGTTATTACCATGGTACTGAAAAAACAAAGGAAATAATGTTTAGTGAGCTCTGAACTTCTCCCCAGCCCAGAGCAACCCTGCCCTCCTCTCCCACCCCCCACCCCCGCCCCCGAGCCACCACCTTTCGCTGCAGAGTCCTTTCCCCTGTCGCTCACGGGAACTTGTGACTCAAGATCTGAGATTTCTCCCAGAACCTCTCTTGAGCTAGTGTTTGCTCTAAGTCTATTTTTGGTACTTGCTCTGGGCACAATACTATTCCTCATGTGATATATTTTCTATTACCTTCCCTATCTGTTACTTTTCCAGATACAACCTATTTTTAAAGTCATTGAAAATAAACTTTTTTATTCACTAAATCCATAATAATTTCTAAAGTAACTTCTAGAAAGGAAGAAAGGAAAGAAGGAAGGGAGGAAGGGAGGAAGAGATAGAAAGTAGAAGATCAGAAATTTAGAACTGGGAAGTTCTAGACCTCAGAGGTCATCTAGTGCAATCCCATCATTTTAGAGGACCAGAGAAATGAAATACCTTGACCAAACTCACCCAGGTAGGAAGTCACTGCCCAGGATTTGAACCAAGAGTTTTTTTTTCTCCCTTTCTTAGTGGATTTGATTATCCTGCACTCTAGAACACATTATAGGTATGTGAGTTGTATAAAAATAACACACAGGCTCTAGTCTTTTTCTCCAGCTTTTCCAGGCATGCGCATCTCTCCTCTCTAGCTAGATTGTAAACTGCTTGTGGGCATGGAATGGTTTTCCATGCTTTATTTTCTATAGGCCATAACCCCTGCTACATTACTAGTCACATAATAGACACCTGGTGATGTTTGAGACTCATTATTAACTGGGGGAAGCATGACCTAGAACACTAATTGTTCTTTTTAAATTACAGTACGAAACCACTGACAAGCACCTGTCCCCCGATGGCCAGTATGTCCCTCGCATCATGTTTGTAGGTAGGTGCTGGGTCTTATTTATCAATTCTGAGCATGGCATCCTTGCTGCAATATTCAGTCCTGGGACAATATAACAAAGATGGTGGGGAACGACACGACAGAGGAATGTCATGATGCTAATCCTTCCTAATTCCTCCTCTTTCCCTTATTCTCACTAACAAAAATGAGCCTTGAGCTTAAGGTGCGAACTCATACCAAGCCCAGAAAACTCCCAGGTAGCTGTTTGAGGCAGAACTGGACACAACTCTCGGTAAAATCTAGAGAACTCAGTATGCTAACTAAATGTGTCTAGTGACTTGGTAACGTCATGCACTGTCCAGTTAACTTTTCTTAACTTATCCTGGTTCCTGCCTTCCAGAGGGAGAATGCCAGGTTGGATGAAGGCACTGTTTGACTGAGGACCACCCACCCAGTCATGTTCCTTTTCACAGGAAGTGGTTATTTAGGCTTCTTTCCATAGTAGGGGCTACTTGAAAATTGATTGGGGCTTTTGTTTTCCTCTGCAGACCCATCCTTGACAGTTAGAGCAGATATTACCGGCAGATACTCCAACCGACTCTATGCTTATGAACCTGCTGACGCTCCACTGTGTACGTATTACCCAAGGGAAGAGAAGGAACAGAGGGAGACGTAGCAAGAAGGGGGCCAGGAGAAACTAGAAAGCACTGTGGGGTGACAGAAAAGGCCCTTCCTTTGGAGCTGGAGGATGCAGGATGCTCTTCTACGCTCCTACATTCTGTGCTTCTTTATTCAGATGTTTCCAAACCACTCTCAGTGATATGGAGAGGCTAAGTTTTTTTGTTTTTTGTTTGTTTTTTTGCTGTTTGTCCTGTAAGGCTATGGGTCACTGCACTTAGACTAGAAGTCAAAGCCAGCCAGATTGTCTTAGATTTGTTGTTTTAACTATCTCTATCTGGTGCTAATTTAAAGGACTTGGCTCCAGAGAACTACCTGACTCAGAGTCAGAAAATACATTGTGCCTATTTAACCTCTGATAGGTGACTTGTGTTTTCTCTGAAAGGTATTTTGGGGCCTCTACCTTAAAAATTAAAAACAAACAAACAAACACAGTAATTATGTGAAGGCTATGGTGAAGAAATCCTACTTGGTCTCAAGATCCTCCCCCAATCGACATGTAAATGGATTTCAAGAAGAACAAAAGATAATCAAAGACCACAAGGCCATTCAGCCCCAACCTTGCTGCCCATGTCCCCACTCTTAGAGCATTTATCTTCCAACGACATTTCTGGTTTTTCTGCTATTTTCTAGTCAGCACAAAGCTTTCTCTGTCTCTTTACATTTACGTAAAATGAAGCATTATGGTATCACGTGATCTTGGGGAGACATTCCAATGCCAGTGTAACACCCACCTAGAAATTGAGGGCAAATATTGTCTAAAAATATTTTGTATGTTTTTATATGAACTGACACAAAGCTGAATGGTCCATTGAGAAAGTTTCAGTGTCCAAACACACAGACTCAGAGCAACGAATCTGGTTCATTCCAAATGAAACCCAGGCTAATTTTCATGGCCAGTGGGAAAGGTTTTGTCAATGAGCACTTGGGGGGCACCAACGGCAGCCTACTGGGGTATCTTCTGAAATGGCTGCAGGGCAAAGATAATGAGTACTGTCCTTAGGTGAGTGACATCAGGAAAAACTCATTAAAGTTCCATTCACAACCTCCTATCCTTTCTATAATGCCCATTGCCCATCTTGACCTGTTTTATTTTGGCCCTTTGGTCAACATTGGAAAGATGTATTTGAAAGATAAATTCCAAATTGGCCTAAAACAGTTTCTGCCATTGGAACTAAGTTTTGTTATTAGACAGCCCAGACAACAACTACCAATTGAAAATGCTTTCTGGTGACACAATCACTTACCTGATTTTATCACATATTTTCCCCGTGAGTCCAATACTTGACACTATAGCCAACAAATTTCCGTATTTTCCAGAACACATCTGCATGTCCTTATTGACTGTGAAGTATCACCACTGCCTACCTAACTTCATCTATGTTTTCATCTTTTTTCTCTTTAGTGCTTGACAACATGAAGAAAGCCCTGAAGTTACTAAAGACTGAATTGTAAAGAAAAGATCTACACTTCTATTCTCTATGTTCAGCCTTAATTTTTGGAGTATTGAAGAGATCAGGCAGATTTTTGTTGAGAAACACAGAAACACTGGTCTATGTACAGAATTAGGATTATGGCTTCATGTTGCTACAGCAATTTTGTACTTGGTGTTAGATGCATTAGTTGAAAAAGAAAAAGAAAAAGAAAGAAAGAGCATTCACAACAGTAAGCCATGATTATTTTTTTAAATAAATCTCTTTTTTTTGAGTGTTGAAGGTGTCGTTTTTGAAAGACTGATTTCTCACTTGAAATGCATATAGGGTTGCTTCTATAATCAGATAACATTGAAATTGCCCATCTGGGTATGAGAGGTACTGCTCCAAAGCAGAGAACATGCTAGGCTGGGAGACTCCAGCCTGGATCCGAAGCCTGCCTTTGCTACTTTCCAGCTGGCTGATCCAGGGCAATTCTGTAAAACGATAACGTTGTATTCAACTTCTGAGGTACAATGTGGGAGTTCCCCCCACCCCGATGAAATGATATACCTGGACAGTGACACATGGGACACATAGCACTGTGACAGCTTAGACATGGGTCATAGTAAGAACCCAACATGCCAGCTGAAGCAACATTGTTCTCAAAGGCTGACAAAATGAGCGGCTTGACGGAAATATGAGCCAGCCTTGGTGACCTTGTCTATGTAGACAGGACCTCAGCTCTCCTCAGGATTACCAGGATTCTACCTTTGAATTCAGAGGAACAGGACAAAGAGGACAGCTGGGTCAACAGCATGATAGAGCATCCAAAGGAGCGACATTAAGGATAATAGCTAGAATTTCTAGGGCTCTTTAAGTCCCTGTCTTAGCCCATGTAATACTTTAACCCTGGGAGGTATGTGTTACCATTACTCCCATTTTACAGATGAGGACATTGAGGCTCAGAGAGGTCAAGTAATTTGCCCAGATCCCACAGCTACCGTCTGACCTCCAGTCTTCCTTGCTCCTAAGTCCCACACTATTACCGCACCACTAAGCTGTACAAGGTACCCATTCAGGCATATGGTCTAGGAAAAAGGAGGTGGCAGCCCCTCTGTCCTATGCTCTGGTTAGATCAGGTTATATTGTGCTCAGATCTGACATACATATTTTAGGAAAGACATTGACAAGCAAGAGAATGTCCAGAGGATGGTGACCCAGATGTGGCGAGAAGTGAAATGCAGGGTTGATGAATATTGGTTGAAGGGATTAGGAGGTGTTTAGCCTGGAGAAGAGAAGCCTAATGAGGTCTTCTTGGCTGTCCTCAAATATTTAAAGGGCTTTCATGTGGAGGAGGGTTACACTTGTTCTGTTTGGCCCCAAAGCAGACAGAACCTGGAGTAGTGGGTGGAAGTTTTAGAGAAGCAAGTTTAGGCTAGATGTCAGAAAACAAACAAAAAACCTTCAATTAGAGCTAGCCCAAAGTGGAACGGGCTGCCTTGGGATACCAGGGTTCCCCATCATGGAAGACCTTCAAGCCAAGGTTGATGACTTTCTCTTGGGAGTGTTACAGAGGCAGTTTGTGGCTGGCTCCAAGTTGGACTTGCCAGTCCTATCCTCTTGGACCTTCCTTCATTTTCAGCACTCATTGGGAGTAAGGGCACCTTCCCAATACTTGGATTAGGGGGTAGGGGAGCACCTGACAGTCCCTGATGGCTCCGTAGAGTGGGAAGAGGAACTCATGAAAGAAAACGAAGCATGGATGACATGATTTGCCCTTTATAAATCCATGCTAACTTGTAGCAACCACCTCGTCTCTTCCACACACTCTCAAATCGTCCATTCATCAATCCAGTCTACGGTCTGAAGTATTGGTCTTCCCCTTTCTGAAAACTGAAATGGCTGGGGCCTATCTCCTATTCTGTGGTATTTAGCCCATGCTCCTGGAACAAAGAGAAGAGGTTCTGGATTCAAACCCCAAGTCACTTCATCCCATGGGCCTCAGTTTCTTCATCTGTAATGTGTAGGATTTGGATTGGATGGTTTCTGCTATCCCTTCCAGCTCTAAATAGATGATTTGTGGTGGGAGTTTTTGGTTTCATGTAAAAATTTTAAAGTTTTTGTATCTGTACTTGAATATTTCTTATTTTTTTTATCATTATCAAGTTCATAATAAAAAGGGAAAGAATACAGACAAGATAATAGACCGAGAGCTGCAACATACATTGGAAATCTTCCTCTTGTACAGATGAGGAAACTGAGGCCCAGAGAGGATGGGTTGTCCAAGGTCACCCAGACAGAGAACAGGATGTGCAGGATTTGAACCCACCTCCTCTGACTCAAGAGGCGGAGGCATTTCCACCGTACCATGAAATAGGCTGGAGGATCCCCAAGCACTTGGCCCACGGCAGCTTCCTTACAAGGCCTCCATAGGCAACAATGATAATGAGTTTTGAACTTGAATGCTCGATGACCAGTTGAATTCTACCTGAAATTAAATGCTCTTTCTGTTTGGTGGTTAACAAGAAATCCACCCTGATACGGCAGGAACCAAAGAAAATGAAACGCACCAGAAGGCATCCATGGCCTCTTCCCCACACAACCCAACAGTGTTGGCTGGTGGTTTGTGGGCACGGGAGGGAGAGGAAAGGAGCAGAGCTGCAGAGGAACCCAACTCATCAGGCGCTAATGCTGGGGGTAGCCTCCTCCACAAAGGACTCCAAACCTTCCCACAAATGGCCACTTTACCCCACACTGGATCCAAGTCAGGATTCCCTGATGGCTGTCCCAATGCCCTTAGATGGAGGAGCCTTCAGGACATCCAAAGCTGGGCAATTCCAAGGCAAGGGGGGTTAACTCGAAGATTCTGTCCTCCGCCAAGGGGCCAATCCTGCCAGGACGAAAAGTCCCCTGCCAGGATTGAGGGAAGGGCACTGAGACCACAAAGCCAGTGACTCACAATCTGTCCAGATTTTTCTGCTTTCTATCAAATGGAACTCTCTCACCACCTCCCCCCAAAAGTGTCCAGATGCAACCAAATCCTAGAGATTTAAGATGGGGCCTTAGACCAACACCTTCCCACTCAGAAAGAAGTGACAGGGACCTAGAAGGGTCCTGAGAGGTCAACCAGGCCAAGCCTTCATAGATAGATAGATAGATAGATACATACATACATACATACATACATACATACACACACATACATACACACACACATATATACACATATATTCATATGTATTTATATATGTATATATACATATATTTATACATATACATTTGTATATACATATATATTTATACTTAGACAAACAAACATGCTCACATATGTGTGTAGATAGATGGACAGGCAGACAGACAGACAGACAGATAGATAGATAGATAGACATAGATAGATAGATAGATAGATAGATAGATAGATAGATAGATAGATAGATAGATAAAGACACTGAGGCTAAGACAGATCAAATTCCTTAGCCAAGAACACACAGGTGGTAGGTGCCAGAGGCTGGATTTCCATCTGGTTCCCTAATTCCCAGTCCAGGCTTCATAGCTTGATAGCATTCTGACCAAAGGCCTGGGATGCCACCCGCCTCTCTCTGCCTTTCACGGGTGACCTTAGGCAAACACTTGTCCTCTCGGGGCCACCATGTCGCCATTTAGGTATGTGAAGATTGGCCTCATTAACCTTGAGGCCTCTCCCAGCTCTAAGTCCTGTCTTCGCATCTCTGAGATAGTAGTGGGTAGAGTTTAGACCAGAGGCCAGCTTGGGGCAGGACTGATCACAACAGGCATGGCACCAACTTCTCCCTTACCCCAAGGCACTTTTTTTTTTTCCAACAGTAAAACACAAACACCACAGTCAAAGAACAGACCCTCAGCCTAATTACTTTCACTTTACACAATGTAACAAACCTGAATTTCCAGTTCCTCAGTCCATAGGAGAACAGAACTGGCAAAGTGGAGGGTCTGGAATGTGCAGCAAACGGCCAGTGACGGGTGAAAGGGGAGGGGGGACGGAGCGATCTCTGAAAGGCGCCTGGAGGCCTTTGGTTTAGGAGCAAACAGCGTCCCCTCCTCGGGACTCCGTGCGACTGCTATCGCTGGTAATAATTCACATTCACAAAATGACTCAGCCATCAAGGGAAGCCTTGTTCGTGTTCGGCTGCTCTTTGGAGGAAGGCAGGCAAATGTGCACCGCGTCTTTAGGATCCTTCCACCCGAAATCATTCCAATATGGCCTGTCCAGTGTGCGTGCCCAAAGGGAGGGCTGTGTGAAATGGCCGGAGGGCTGGGCTAAGAAGGGCGATCTGCCTGAGCTCATTCCCTCCGCCTCTGGAGCCTCGACTTCCTCCTCTGCAAAATGGGGATATGATGGCATTCCCTTCCCAGGCTTGTGAGAAATAATGGAGTTAACAGACACAAAGGGTTTTGCAAACCTTAAAGCATCAAATAGAGGTTAGTTATTATTGTTGTTGTTATTAATGGTTGTTCAAAACTCCAGAAACCCCAGAGAGAGAAGATTGCAGACAAAGCCGCCCAGCCAGCACTCGCCGCCCTGTGACAGATGAGTTTGAGCTATTGTATTAGGGAGTCCAAGGGCTCACTGAAGCAAGAGGGAGGAGCAGACTAGCCTGGCCCCGTTCCCCCCATTACAAGTACGTCACCTCTTTGGAGAGTGGGAGACAATTTCCCCAAGCAGCCCCGAGGAAGCCTCTCCCTCCAAAAGCAAGCAGTTAACAACCTCCTTTTGGGGACTGCGGGTCACACCCGGGCATGTGTGGTGGACAGGACCATTCCGAGAAGGAAGGAGCAGGAGCTGGCTTATCTTCTGTGGGGAAGAGAGTAAAGTGAGAAAAACTGAGGTTTGGGGACATAAGCTGAGGAGTATAAAGATAGAAAGGCGTTTATTAAACAGTGTGTACTGAGAACCTCACGGCATTGATCGCTGTACATTAGGAAGAGCCCCTGGAAGGAATCATGGCGTTTTCTTTTATTTTCTGAAGTTTTCTTCTTGCTCTCACCTCATGCTGCCCTAGCACAGGGTAGAATTTTGCAAGGAGGCATAAAGAGACCAGCGTGGGCTCATACCTATCCTGCATCTGCATGAAGTAAGGATGTGCGAAGTACCAGCCGTCCTGAGCCTCTTTACCAAATTCTTTAGTAGCAACCCTCTCCACTTCCAATACCCCTGCTAGCCCTGAACCTGAGGATGGCAAGCTGCCCCTTCTGCCCTGTGGGGAGAAAGTATGAGGA